GCTGTAGGTGCGTGTGTGTGGTGTAGGTGTGTGTGGTACAGTGTGTGCGTAGATGCAGCGGACAGACAGGTCTCAGTTGGTTTGGTGTCCTCTGCTTACTTGTAATACTTGTAAATAAAACTTTTGGCCCGTCATTTATTTCCCTCATTGTAGCGACCAGAGAGGGGGGGGGGGGGATATATCCAGTCTCTGATAGTGTTACGTTATTATGAGAGTGCTCTGTTTGATTCTGAAATTGTATATATTTATATAAATATATACATATATGTGTGTGTGTGTGTGTGTGTGTGTCTGTGTGTATGTCCGCATCTGTAGCCTGTTATTGTCTCATTATACCGCACTGTGAATGAATTCAAAGTAAATATATAAGTCGTCATGAACACATCTGTCCATCAGACAGAGGGCTGCTGTGCCTCCTGTCATCATTAATGGACGTCTCTTTAAAATGACCGCTCAGAGGAGAGGAGTTCTCATTTCTCTAACCGCCTGCTGCTTCCCCTCCTCTCTCCTCGGTTCGCCTCCTCGGCTCCTCCGCTCACATCTCCTGTGGGCGGGACTAAGTCTCGAGGATAGGAGTCGAGGAGGGGAGTCGAGGAGGAACATTTGAAGACATGAGAAAGGGCCATGGGGTGTTTCTCAATCGCGAGTACGCTTGCTTGGTAGCACATGTCTGCCGAGCATCTTGCTTCAGAAGCGAGTCAAGAATACTTCCTGGCATTCGGAAAACGAAGTGTGGAACACGCTAGCAAGTGTGCAGGTGTGCGTCATATGAGAGGCCCCGCCTTACATCTTCCGCCACAGATTTGGGGAAATTGGTCCGTGCGCAAAGCATTGTGGGGATTTTAAGACCGCGAAGTCTACTCATGTGCAGCCTCGATATTTCTCCAAACGGAGTACACCGGGCTCGGTAGATTTCCAAGTATACTGGAGATTGGAACAGTACTTCGGCGGCACTCGATGACGTAGTATGCTTGAAATAGTGGCTCTGAAGCAGCTTTACTCGCGATTGAGAAACACCCATGGTCTCTACCTGACCAGAGTCACGCTGTGTGTGTCCGTCAGGAAACACGCTGTTTACAAGTAGTTCCAGCAAACATCCACTGATAAATTGCGATGTTAACAACCTCATGATAACCTCATATTTTTTTAACTTAGGATCATACCTGTGTTTAGTCTGGAAAAAGGTAAATGTGTGCATTTTATTATAAAGTTGTGTATATTTACAGACTGTTGCAAAAACTAAGAAGCTTATAAACATCAGGTTTAAAACTAAAAGAGCTTTACAAAAAAGTAACACAATGAAAGATGTTTGGAGTTTTATTTGAGTTCTTAATTTACATTTTTTGTCTAAGAGATGCTGATTTGAAACCGTTGTTACATACAGTTACGGCATTTCCTGTTTCTGCCGGAGAGAGGGGAGTTTGTCCCAAAGCTTGCCGCTGTATTTACTCTCTCCATCTGACAGGAGGGAGCCTCGTTGAGCTGCGAGTGTGGCTACAGACGGAGTTCACTCCGCCACGGAGGGGTAGGGTCGAGGGAGTGGACGGCCCCGCTCACACGGGACCGTTTGCGTTTATGCACAGTATGCGTATTCAAAAAAGTCTTCCGTTCACATGCATTTGTTTCATTTAACGTGTCCGCTGGAAACGCTGTAGTACATATGCTGGGACTGTAAGTGGCGCTGTAACTTCCGCCAAAATACACCAAAAGCCGCGAAGAAGAGCAACCGAGCAGCCCCGCTGCAATGTTGCCATGGCTACCCTTCTGTTTAAGCCCCGAAACTGAAACTGAAACTGAAAGAAACTGAAAGAAACCAATCTGTGGATATTGCATCCCGACCAAGAAACACGAAAGAAAACAACTCCGTGGAGAGGACGGCTCAGAAAGAGAGAGATATTCTCTACAAACACCGGGTGAGATCCTCCTTTGTCAATATAATGGATCAATGCATGAAATCTGACTCTGTTTATTTTGTTTAAGGAGTATATTGGGCGTTAAAAATTCTGGTTTGCCTTTTATAATATTATTTCATTCAAGAACCCCTTGTGCGTTTAATTAACACAGCTATTTTTGATAGTTGATACAGCAGTGAGCAGGAGAGGTGGGGAGAGGCGGGGCTATCGTTATTTTTTCAGGAAATATTCGTATCGAGGTGATTACACGGACTCGGTTGACCCCCCAGAGCGTTTCGTTTGCAAATCTATCCACCTTGGGACCCGTTATTGTTTGTGGGGTCAGTTTCTATCGGCCTCGTGTAAATAATAGGGCTATACGCACGCAAAACTATGCAGATACAAGCAGTTTTCTCCTCGTGTAAACGGCGCCTCAGGCTTCAAAAGTTGAGCAATGTTCAACTTTTGAAGCTGAGGCGGAAGCATCAGCCAATCAAATCCCGTTTATGCAAATCTGACAGTACAAGCGCTAGCCAATCAAACCGCGTGTATGCTGGGAGAGACATACTGCAGGTCATTTCCTCATATTCCAAAAAATGGAGGAGAAATTAATTATAGCGGTAGGGAATCACCCGGTGCTTTATGACCAGTCCCTATTTACCTACCGGGATACAAACCGGAGGAGCCAGGCATGGAGGGAGGTGGCAGAGACAGTGGTAGGTTTTTGCCTGTTTGGGGAGTTTATATCCAGTTTACTTCGGGCTTTTTTGCTTTGTATGTCGCGGGCGGGAGATTCATGTGATTGGTTGTTGGTCGCAAAAAATCCCCAAGCTTCAGATACGCCCACCTCCAAGATTTTTATAACGCTGCTGTGTGTACGTACCGTCAATGTTGGTGCGCAAATGCGCTTTTTTCAAATGATCCGGTGCTCCTTTTTTGGCGGGGGGTGCGGTGCGCATGCGCACCTGCGCACCAGTTATGTGCAGCCCTGACTATTACAGTATATACAGTAAAACATCGGCAAAGGCACAATGACAAACAGGACAACAACTTAGGAACATTTCGAAATAATGTATTTGTAAAACAAAACAAAGATCTGAGAAAATACAATTACCCACAGAATGTACAAAATAAAATAAGGCATTTGTTTACTAAGATAACAGGTGTGAACAAAATGGTCTATATGGAGCTAATTTCCTGCCATAACTCCACAAACAAACTAAACAGGTTTTACAAATGCCTCATGATTCACTAACAAACACCATCTACAAACTAATGCATTTAGTTTTGCAAAGAAAAAACGTATCTATCAAATAAACACATACCATTTTTCTAATAAATCATGTTTCAGAGACAAATTCAGCATAGGTTTTACAAGTACACACATTTTTTTTACAACTACAACACTTCTTTTTACAAGTACAAAACTTGTTTTTACAACTACAACACTTCTTTTTACAAGTACAAAACTTGTTTTTACAACTACAACACTTTTTTTTACAAGTACAAAACTTTTTCTTCTCACGGCGGAATATTACTGCCTAAAGTCACGTGAGTGAGTCACGTGACTTTTGGCAGTAATATTCCGCCGTGAGAAGAAAAAAATAATCCGTCAGGTTCGGCTCCAGGGGAGGCGCGGTCGGAAAACCAACATCCGTCAAGCCCTCCACTTTAGTGAGGGGGACGAATGAGGACACCGGAGCCTTCAAGCTCCTAGGGGCCGCCGCCGCCGCCGCTCCCTCCTGGTACTTCCGGATGGCCGGGAAGCACGGCCAGACCGGGTCACTCCTGACGGTCTGTACCCGGGAGAAACACTCCTGCCACCGGCAAGAGAGCTCTCCTGAGCCGGGGGAACGAAGAGACCTCTCCAGGCGGCTGCCTTTTTCGATGATCTCCGGCAGTTCCTGCAGGATCCCGCCTATCGACGGCAGAGCCAAGCTGTAGGTCCTGCAGCTGGGCCAGACCGGCACCGGGCTCCATCTCTATCTCCTCCGTCCGGGGGAGAAACGGGATGGGGGAACCACACGGTGATCCGTGGATGGAGGCGGGGTAGGAGTCGTCTGACTCCTGCCCAGCACTCGGATCCAGGAACTCAAGGGCTTGGTCCAGGTCCAGGCCAATCATCCTCCTCGGCCGCAGTAGCGAGAGCGTCCGCTCTTCGCTGTCTGTCGGCCAGAGGGAGACGAGCACAATTAGCACGTGACCATCGCCCGTCTGGCATGAGGAGCAAACTCTAACACAACCCTGTGTACTCATGTTTAAGGATCTTTTTCGAGGGGGCTCTTAAAAGAGCCTTTACTCTTTAGTGTCTCTACAGTGCTTCAGTACCGGGGTGCTGAAGAAAAGAGGGAGCAGATTGTCGGGCCTCCTTCCTATTTATACCGGAAGTGTGTCCGAAGGTGGGGCCCACCTTGCAGGTGGGCGTGGACTACAAGTGTTTTCAGTGCTGCGCGGGTGCGCAGGGGATTACCCAATAGCGATAGCCTTAGAGGGCGAAGCCTATACGAAATAGAATGTCCGGAGGAGTCTCTGGCTCCCGTGAGCTGGGCGCGAGACAAGGTACGTCTGGCGCGTGAGTCAATCAAACTTTCCCAACGTGCCACTCAACCATTTTTGTTTTGTTTTTTTCCTTCAAAACTTTATTGAACAACTATTTCTAACATCAAAGAAAAGGCACATTTTTCAATGTTTTACAACTATGCACATTGAGTTGGTTTTAATACAATTAATTTAAGAAAATGTATCTGCAGTTTACATATATTAAATAAATTCAAACTGGCAGCTCACCAGTTTTCACGTTTTATTAAATTGAACCCCAAAGAGAACAGCAACAGATAAGCTTATCGATACCGTGCTGTCAAGCTGATCCTGAATCAGTTACACAGAAAAACATGATCTCAAAAGTGTCTGCATTTAAAACCATGTGGAAATAAATGATGAACTCAGTCATATGGATCAATAATTTCGATCACTTGAAGTGTTGCATACTTGACTTCTAATTTATCCCATTATTCGTCTGTACAATTAGATTTTTATTTATTTATTTACAGTCAGAGATAAGATTGCAATTTTGTATGATAAAATGGTCAAAAACTGGAACAAAAATAATAAGATATTTGTACCTTGTTTTAATTTTCATAAATACAATACACTTGAGTCCTTGCAGGAGCCAAAGTCTTTGGTTGAGAACCACTAAATTAAACCATTTGATCTGGGAAGGAAAATAAACAATAGACAGTACTGTGTGTGAAATAAAAGCAGATGTCAAATTACATAATATTTTGGGTCATGGTAAGTAGAAATCCTGTAGGCAGTATTTAATGGAAAACACAGTTATTGCAGTTCCCACATCTCACCTGCAGGTGTCAGTAAAATGTCATTTAACAGCTGATTTGAATGTTTCTCCATAAAGCAGCTTGGAAATTAAATTGTAGAATTAGATGTCGCCCGACAGAAGTTTCATGTATGTTATCTCTGTATCTACATCTATGTCTGCGGCTAGGTTTAAATTATTGTGAGTCCAGCAGGATCTCTAACCGTTTTCATAGTAAAAGCAGGCCGTCTTGCTGCTGCCCGTCTCCCTGGAAGGTTTACTGTTCAGTCTCTGAGGCTCCATGTTCCACTCAGGTGCGGCCTTCGTGGTTGAGTGAGGCTCTCTCCATCCTTCTGTACCAGGGTTTGACCTTGGAGTTCTTCATCATGTCGTCAAACGCCTCCAGGCCCTCCATCACTCTGAGGATGCCGAACACCGCCTGCAGAGGGGGGCAAACGGGGGAAAAGATGAATGACAAGGTGCAGTGAGGTTGTGATGATTATGAAACACCAAAAACCAAACTGCTTGTAAAAATGTCAAGTTTAAGGTGCCAAAAGAAAAGTAATTGGGTAAATAAAACAAGTTTATCCTCTGTATAGGACATCCTAGCTTAATTTCGACCACATTGTTCAGTACTAAATATAGGTATATATTAAGACATTAACTATATTCCTGTTTACATCACAGTTTACTCATTTTTCAGCATGTGTAAACCTGTATACCACAAATTAGGGTGATTACTTATTTGGTGGGTTCTGTTTTTAGAATGTTAATATTTGTACATGTATTATGGTAACTTTTCTTTTGTTAGTAGAAAAATGCCCTACGAGTTTTATAAACGAGACCCCAGGACACTAGACACTCACTAGGTCTGCGAGGTTGGGCTGATCTCCGCCCATGAACTTCCTCTTCTTGCCGATGGCTGCCACCCAGTCGTTGACGGCCTTGTACAGATCCTCCCTGACGTCATCCTGCAGGTTGTGTCTGTTTTGAAATAAAAAAGGAAATTAATCACTATTTTGACATCCAATAAACTACTAAAAGCCGCAACCTGAAACCTTTCCACCTCACAAGGGAGATGCAGTTCCTCATGTTAAAGACTAAGCTCAGTTTCAAAAAGAGCCCCCATTATGCTTTTTGGGGTTTTCCCTTCCCTGTAGTGTGTTTTATAACTTTTTGTGCATGTAAATGGTTTGCGAAGATAAAATCCAAAAGTTCCCCCCCTGCCTGAAACGCCTCCATTGTAGTCCTAAGTTTACTTCCGTAACATAAGGGCATCTCTATGTAATTTCACGCTTCTATTGGCTAGCGCTCCAACACATTGTACGTGATATGCTAAGGGTTGGACATCTCTAAGTGGTTGACCAATCACCACAGAGCCGGCCAGCTAACCAGTAAGAGCAGACGGGGCTCTGGTTTCAGACAGAGGGTGAAAAGAAGTGCTGCAGCACACACAGTATGAGAACAATAAAGAGCTTTTTGAACATTAAAAGGTCACCTATCATGCTAATTCAAGGCAATAGCATAGGTCTCAGATATATAAAAAAATATAGAAAACATGTCTATGAAGTGTTTTGGTCAAAATACCAAACAGATCACCCATTCTAGCCATGCCTCATATCCCTCTATTTCTCTTCCTGTTACAAAAGTGCTGATTCTGGGTATAAAGCTTATTTTTTTTTTAAACTGAAAAAAAATAAATAAGAGGGGGCGGAGCTTATGCCGGCTCATGCGGGACCTGGCAGATACTGTCTAAAATGCTGCGGTGATGAAACGCAAGGATTATTAGATCAAGGATTATTTCTGAAACAGTATGGAGCTCAAAGGCTTTCTCTCTTGCCGGTTATACCACAAGGTGAGTTCCTTTTTATATCCTGCTTCTTACACATGCTCTCTCCAGTACAGCTTAGCTCTGAGTGTTATCCATGCTTGCTAATAGGCGCGTTAACAGCGCAGTACTTTTCCCACTTTAGTTCATCAGCACTCTTTAGTTCTCATGAACTAGTACAGATCGCGTTCACACCGGAATAAGTCCCTGGGGAAGGATTAGGCAAATGAAGCCGCTGACGTCACTTCTTCTTCTTCTGCTTTGGGTTTACTGGCAGGCCGCAAACAACTTCACGGCATATACTGCCGCAGGAAGTCCCCGGCCGGAAGTCCCCGGAGTTGGGGACTGGCTTCAGTAGAAGCTGCTGGGACTCCCAGCAGCTTCTACTGAAGCCTTCAGAGTAAATCGCCAGAATGCCGCCACCTCCTCATCTCCACCGCTCCCATGTTTTATTTTCTGTTGCCATAAGTTAGTCTCTCTGCGTTTGTGCGCTGGGCTAATGCTAATGATGCTAATGCTAATAATGCTAATGCGAGGATAATAAAATGGCGGCTTCACAAAACCTTTTGGGAGTTTTACGGGGCGTGGTTTGCAATCCGCCCAGCCAATCAGACATAGGAACCTTTTTCTCCCACGAAAGTACCTGCTCTCTAGCAGGGACGGAAAAGGGGGTAAAAAGGTTCTCATGAACTAATTTTAGTTCCGGCTCTTTTTGGTGCGAACGCGACATTTCGGAACTATATCGGAACTAAAGTGGGAAAAGTACTGCGGTGTGAACGCGCCTAATGTAAATAAACACTATTACGTCCAACACACGTCCACACAGCAACGTTTCTGATAGTGCCGTGGGTCCGTCATATCTGATGGCAAATGTTGTGTCCCTGACACACCGGGGATACATATTTATGTATAAAAGACATCAAAAAGTGCATTTTACATGATAGGTCCCCTTTAAAGCATGAAAACATGTCACAGTGAGTAGAGGAACAATATACAAACATGAACCTTAAAGGAACATTATAAATCACTTTAAGATGTATTTTCTTGTGTACTCACCGACTTTTCAGCCTTTTTGCGATGATGTACATGGCCGCAGCACCAACATATTTGGCAAAGAAACCTTCCATGGTGCTAAACTTGCCCTCGCGCACAATGTAGTCGAAAGAGGCCATGGCCTCTCCGGTGGTCCGGTACACGTTGGGAGATATAAGATGCACAAGCCATTCATCAGCCCACTTACGCCACTTAATCTCCTCTCTGATAGGGGTAGAAAAGAGACAGTACAGTTCTGACAACAGAGCTGCAATAAGATTTGCATGACATCTAAAATGTGCAACTGTATTATTCTGATGTGGACTAAACGATTGAATATTTGCAGAATAATACAGGACAGATTTCCCTTTCTGTGTGCTTTTAACATTCTCAGAAAGACTACCAGGCCACAGAGTACAACCTTTCAAAATAAGAGTATGCTGATGGTCATAATTAATGACATTATCACCCTTAATTTTGGGCATTTTTTGGTATTGTTGCTACATTCATTTAATATATGATTGCTGCTTTACAACTTTGTAAATACCATTGTTTGTGTGTAGCAAGAGGGAAAGCAACATTTTTAAAGGCTAAACACAAACAAATATGGATCGAAAGAGAATATTTTGTTAGATGTGAATTGAAATTAGTTTTTGACACTGTCGAAAAAAATCCACCACTGAAAAGTATTTATACAAATAGAATACAGAGTTTAAACACAATAAAATAAGCTGCAAAGCATTCCAATGTTAATTTAGAATGCAGCGCTTTATAAATAAAGCTTGGAGTGACTCAATACAGCAGCAGGTCTCACTTCTGCATCCCCTTGTCGGAGTACAGCTCCAGGCTCTCGGCCTCAGTCAGCATCACCCAGTACTTGTTGTTGTACTCCGTCACCTCCTTCCCACGGTCGTTCACAGACTTCATCGCTGGGTAGCACTGCAGGATCTCCATCATGCTTCTCTCCCTGAGGGACAAAAAGACCCCATTGAAAAAAAGACAGTACACCAAAATTACAGAAATATATTTGCTCGCTTTCCTTTATTACTGGGCAATTTATGAAAGGAAACTATTGTTATATTATTGCTTCACCTGCTAATGAGTTTGTTGATTGATCATTTTACATGTTCTAGTCGAAGGTAAGATTTTTTAAATGTCTCTTAACCTAACTACATTCAGTTTAATGTCATGTATGACAAAGAGAAGCCTTAACCTGTTACATTTTAGACACTGTAACCAGCTTATTTCTAACATTTGTGCTTAAAAGATGAACAACACTTTGCCATTTATCTTAAAAGTTGCAGATTAATTTAAAACACACATTTTTGTATAATTCAGGGGCCCTATTATTCTCATTTTCAGGTTGTGTCTCTACTGTGACATGTTTACATGCTGCCCACTGCAATAACTCTGTACAATAAATCACCTCTGGCTGGAAGAGAACTCTCTGCTCCATAGTTTCTCTTGGAATAAAACCACGTTGTACATTTTACTCTATAATCTGTTCAATATTTATACTCCATATTCCATATATTTTGAATATATATATATATTTGTATATATATATATATATATATATATATAATATCTGCATGTATATTTTCTATTTCGACATGTATATTTTATATTTTATTTTCTATTCTTGTATATTTTGTTTGATTGTAAAATGCCTTTTATGCTGCTGTAACAACAATTTCCCAATTTGGGATCAATAAAGTACTATCTATCTATCTATCTTATGTTCCTAAAGCTCTTTATTTTGCTCATACTGCCTGTGCTGCAGCACCTCTTTCACCCTCTGTCTGAAACCAGAGCCCAGTCTGCTCCGATTGGTTAGCTGGCCGGCTCTGTTGTGATTGTTCAACCGCTTAAAGATATCCCGCCCCTTAGCCTATCACGTACAATGTGTTGGAGCGCTAGCCAATAGAAGCCCTATTGTTACATAGTGATGTCATTAGGAAGTGAACACACAAGTTTAACATAGGCGTATCTCAGAAATATATATTTTTAAATATTGCTGAAAATAAAATAAAAACATGTAAAACATATTTTTAGTCGCTTAGCCTTTAACTTGTCACATTATAATAATTATTTCAAAAAGCATACAACATGAAGGAAGCTACAACTTACTTGTTGATTAAATGAGTCCTGAGGGAGCTGATAATGACAGTTGAGTCATTCAGTTGCTGCAACAAAAGAGATGACGATCAGGTTTCTTTGAGAATAACTGCACATTCATGGAGAAATTAATAAATCACCACCAGTTTGATATCTGTATTTCAGCTGACAGCATTTATTATAAAAAATTATATTTTCTGAAAATGTGTGATGTGATCTTAAAGGTCCCATGTCATGCTTTTCCGGTTATTACCCATCCCCTTGTGTGTTATGAAGGTTTTTATGTAAACGGTCTGCAAAGTCACAAACCCTCAAAGTACACCCTGTAGCGAGTAAAACTCTAACACAGAAAAGACCTGTCTATGCTGCCCCAGAACGCCTCGTTGGAGATTTCTCTTTTTCTTCCTGGGTACAGTGACGTGCCCATACCCAAATGGACCCATTGGTCCAAATGGACCAATCCGTGGAGCCGTTACGTCCGCGGAGCCGTTAGGTTAAGTCTGTGGATTGGTCCTCACACACACACACACACACACACAATCTTTTCTCAGCTGCAGCTCCGCCGATTTCTCCTCCTTGAGACGGCGGGACGCGGCGAGGCTGTGAGTCTGTGTGTGAGCACACACACAAACTCCCAGCCAGGCTGCTGGTGTGTGTGTGCTCGGGCTGGTTTCGGGCCGGGTTTCGCTGTGTCTCGCAGACGGCCACTGGGCTCACAGGGAGGGGGGGGCAGGAGCTCCAACAAGCCGTTTAGGACAGAGAGTGAATACACGTACTATACAGAGATGCTGTATGAGAAACCAATGTGAGTTTGGAAAATTGCACAATATAAATCTATTCTAGTATACCTCAACAATGGAATTATGATCAGTAGAAATGGCCATGACATGGGACCTGAAGTGTTTTTATAGTATCTGAGGTGAGGGGAACAAAAATAATTCCTAGTGTCTTACCACTTCGCCGTCCACCATCAGGATGGGCACTTTTCTGTAGTCTGACCACTTGATCTCCTTCCTCATCACCGGGTTCACCTCCACAATCTCGTACGGCAGCCCATGGTAGTCCAGGAAGGCTCGCACTTTGCTGCAGAACGGGCAGGTCTTGTACTGGTACAGGATCAACTTCAGACCTCCTCCTGAGACCTGCAGCGAGGAGAGAGGATCCACCATCAAAACTTCTTCATAATACATTATACTGCACTAAGCTATACTAATTTATGTTAAGATGTTATACAATATTATTTACATTTTTTTAAATGGTATATTACTGTTACTATACTATACTTCACCTTAAGTTGTGTTGGAATACAACTAAATGTAGTATTAGGTGGAATTGAATTGAAGTACTCAGGTAAAGTACCTCAACATTCTAGCACTGCACTGGTTACTAGAAAAGCAGTCGAATGTCAAAACAATAAAGCGTCACATTTCACTCCGAGAGGTAACGTTAGGTGGTTATTGTAGTATTACATTGAAATAATCAAGTATACAATTATGTACATGAACTTAGTTCCGGCTGTGACCCTGTCTGATGACATTAAGTTAGGTAACAATGAAAAAACAGCCTCCAGAGATCAGGGGGACTCTGACAGTGTGACCGCGTTAGAAGCTCAGGTGACCGGACTCACTTTGGTCTCCTCCTCGGCCAGCAACCTGAACTTCCCAGTGTGGTATAAACCCAGCCCGGCACCGACCAGCACGGCACAGCCCAGCACCCTGCCGCCGCCTCCAGCTCTCCCTGTCCGCAGAGAGGACAGCAGCTTGGAGCGGTACCCGGTCCCGCCGGTACCAAATGCCCTCCTGGCCCCAAGTGTGCTCACATTCCCCAACAGGTAGGAGGAGATGATACCGGGCCGGCGTGCTGGTGGAGACTCCAAAATACTCCAACCGACCTTACAGAGGGTCCTGCTACAGGCGGCCGCCATGTTGGTTTACATAAAATCCCAGAGTGCACCACGAGGAAGAAGAAATCTAGATTGTGTTGCCCTCAACTGAGACTGTCAGGCTGTATTGAAAATCTGAGACAAGACGGATAATTATGATTTGTCACCAAAAGTCAAACAAATAAAATGCAGTGAGTAAAAAGGGCAAAAATTACACAAACATAAATCACTGATTTTCTTTTTTAAAACATGGGGTATTCAGAATACAACATCTTATCAAATAAAACTAATCGCAACGTAAAATCAAAGCCATTAAAATCATTTCCGACATCAAGATGCAACTTTAAGATAATATGAGATGAATAAATATTCCCTGTAGGGACATTCGTGTCAGAACTACTAGTTTCGAAGGTCTATTGTTATTTATGGGCAAATTATGAATTTGTCATATATGTTTGAAAAATAAAATATAAACTGAATTGAAAGTGTATATATTTTATTTGTATTTTACTCATTTCTTTTTTGGGAATTCATGTGTCATTGTTAAACATTCGTAATGCTTCTTTAGTATGCATTTGTCTTTATTATATAGTAGTTATATGTATTTTGGTTGTATTAGTTTGATATTCAAATGTTGTATTACTGTACTTCAATATTTAAATTCTATATTTTTTAGGATCTAAAGTTTGTTGGTGAAATGGAATTGAGGTGTGTTCAGGTTCAAGAGTGTCTGTTTCGCCAGTCGCTCTTAATAGGTCGCTAGAGATGGTGCGTTCACGAGCGTCGTTCTTCTGAGATGCTCTTCTTCTCTCCCCGACCGCAGCAACAGCAGCAGCGTCTTGTCTTTCAGTGAAAGCGGAGATTCCTTCTCAGCTGCAGCATCCATTTAAGCATCCGTGTTACAGTGGTCAAATCAGTCACATCTTCCCCGGGACTGACCACTCCTCACTGGGATGTCGTCGTCGAGCAACGGGGCGCGGATTTAGTCGTGAGAGCCGATGATAGACGTGACTCCTCGGTTGTGTTTTTGAGTGGAGGCAGGCAAAGGAGCGCCGATGGATGAAGGCAGCAGGAGGAGACAAATAAAAAATTGATAATCGCTGAGGTTTAGCTGGCTAGCACGCTAACATTAGCTAGCCCACAGCTAACTAGCCCTTGGTTGTTTTCCCCCCCTCCCCGTTCACTTACCGATGTGGTGTTTTTCCTCCATGAATAAACACCCCTTAATTTCTTTTTATATGGATGTCGAGACATGCTGGAGCCAGTGAAGACATTTTCTCTCAAGGATAAAGCACACTAGCTGTCTACTAGTCTCCTCAGCGTCAAAGCTAGTTAGCCTCAAAACCATTATTTTTTATTATTATTATTTATACATTTGTTCTCCCTTATCCGTGAAGAACAAGATGCCGACAGAAAAGGTCTGAACTCGCATGGACAAACACTCCATGAAGGTCATGATACTGAGAGAATGATCATGCTGGAAAAACAGGTAAGAAATGATTTTTGCAGTAGCTGGGTTCATATTTAAAATGCACACCTGAGCTCATTTGCATATTGGGTGATTAGGGTGTTAATTTGACCTTCTTTGTGCTTGTATCTGATTCAACTATGGATTTGTACTGTCTTTTTTAATCCTTTTTCGCCTTTTATTACGGTTTTGTCAACGATAACCATGCATTATTGTTGCATGGAGGCCTAGACATGTAGAGTGATGGAGTATGACTTCAAACCGGGTAATTTATAGTCTTGCCCATGAATAAAAGACTAAAACTGTCAAATTAAATATATGAGCTACATGGAAAAATCTGAATCAAAATAAAATAAAATAAATTAAAAATAAATTCCATGCTTTTTTATTTATTCATAAAAATGTGCAACAATCAGCTATAACATTTAGATTAGAAAAGACAAAACATCAGAAGGTTATACAAAAATTGCTTTAAAAACTGTAAAACAATTACATAATAAACAACTATGTTTACACAATATGAGTACATTTTAGGTATAGACGCGTTTCCTATTAATTATAAATTGAAAAGACAAAAAAATAACATTCAATTAAAAAAACTTAAAGGTGGGGTATGTAATTCATTTCAGAAACACTTTTTGTTATATTCCATGGAATGCTCTTAACATCCCGATAGCAATGAATATATTAAATGCTTTGACAACAAATACATAAAAAAATGTCATCTGTGGAAGCCGTAGCGCTGTAAAAAGCACGACCAATCATTTTAGCGGCCAGGCTAAAATAACTGGATGGCCTACCTGCCTGTCAGCCTTCCATCTCGTGCACAAACTTATCTCGTGCCCTCATTGGTCATGTGCACGTTCGTGTGTGTTGGAGGAAGGGCTCTGTAAGGAAGTGGCAGATTTTTTCCGGTTGTGTATTTTCAAATTCTAGCGCACTCGAGCTGGTTTCTCCAAAATTACCTACCCCACCTTTAAAATATTGGCTTGAATTTAAAAAAATTGCAAATTTGAATGAATAAGATTAAAACAAATAACAACAATACATTAACTGATTTTATAGCAATCCAGATAAACTATATTGTTTTTACCTTTGCTACTACTGGTTTTGAACCCTGTTATTTAATAGCAAGATCATTTATTGAATTTAACCAATAAATTGCGTTGATACTCATTATCCTCAGTGTTATTATCAGCAGCATACCAAAAACCCTCGAAGAAATGTCCTCCAGCCAGCGGAGCTCATCATAACCTCCTCTGTCCAAGAAATTGGAAATTAGCTCAAAGCTAAATCTGGCACTGTTACGCTTGACACATTTGAATGTTTTAAGTGTTCATTACTGTGCATTGTCCCTGCCAAATAAACGATTAAATATATAAATAAAAAGAACTGTGAGGGGATTGGGAGGGTTACTTCCTCTTGTTACTCCCATGGCAGCCTAAATGACCATAAACAAAAGCTGACAAGTCAATTATACATCACAGCTTCAGAGATGTGAGTAGCAGAGGAGATACTGGTGGTGGAGATTTAAGAAGAGGAAAAAACACGGCAAAGCAAGAAATAGCGATTAAAGACATTATTAAACGAGCATTAAACAATTGAACTTCAACAATCATGACAATAATATTGTTTAAAATGTTTTAAAAGATGCGTTGTGTTCATGTTCATCTTGTTAATGTTCATTGACTTTATTTTAAAGTGGACCTATTATGCTATATTGGAACAATATATTGTAGGGCCATACCTATACAAACATGTCTGTGAAGTTTTTTGTTTAAAATACCAAACAGATCACCCATTGTAGCCATCCCTCATACTGCTCAAATCCCTCTATTGCAGCCCTGTTAGAGAAATGCGGATCTTGGGTCCTTAGCTTGAACAAAAAAAAAAGAGGAGGCAGAGCTAATGCCTGATCAGAATTCTACCGGAGATAAAGTTAAATTCTGCTGTGATAAAACGCCATCCTGTTCTAAACCACATCAAGGATTATTTCTGAAACAGTATGGAGCTCAAATTCTTTTTCTCTTGCAGGTTTATCACAAGGTGAGTTCCTTTTTTTATTTCCTGCTTTTTAAACACATGTGCTCTTCAGTACAGGTTAGCTCTGAGTGTTAGCGAGGCTTGCTAATGTAAACAAAGACGAGATTACGTCCAAAACATGTCAGGCATTGTTTCTGATAGCAACTTTCTGTGGGTCCGCCGCCGATTTGACGTCATATCGGTAGGCCTGTCGCGATAATCAATAAATTGACTTATCGTACGATAAATAAAAATGGACTCAATAACTTTTCTGAACTCGATAAATTGCCGTTTACATGCATGTTTGTTTACATAAGGATGTGACCAGCATTTTAGCCAGGCGGACTGTGTCTGCCAGCCCGGCGCGCTGTGAGGGGCGGCTCTCACAGACAGCCCATGACACAGCCAGGTCAGGAAACTCCGTGTGCAGCAGTGTAGCAGCCAAATTAATAATATAGAGACAAGCAGGAGACAACGTGTGACTTACTCGAGGGGAATTTGAAGTTAAATGGAAGTGGTTGCAAAACCTAATACCACATCTCCGGTGTGGGAATATTTCAACGAGGCAAACCTACGGACTTGAATGAGCCGGGCGGTGTGTCGCATTTGTTTTAAAAAGGTAGCAACAAAAGCTAGCAATACGACCAACCTTAAACTGCACCTGAAACACAACCTACCCATTCCGTTTTCCTAGCTGGGAGCAAACACGGCAGCTGGAGATGGAGAGCCGGCCCCCCACCTTCCCTACAGTTTGCAATCAAAGATGCATTTGCCCGACAATGCAAACTTGTTGTTGTTCCTTGCTCGAAATCTTTGAAATACAGATTTGGATATGGCCTGTTGAGGCATCTGGGTCTTTGTATGGACAGTGGACTATACACTTGACTGTTGTTTTAAGGAGGGTTTTTTTGCTTGTGAGACAATGTGTGCTCATATTTATTTATGTATTTATATATATATGAGAGAGAGAGCTCTGTTTTCCAGCCTGAGTCTATTTAATTGATTGTTTTGGTTGTGTGTGATTTTAATTAATTTGTTATAATTAAATGTATTTGCTTTATTTATTATATATAATTTATATATTTTAATATTATTTCACATTTCATTTGCAATGTTGAATGTTCAATACAAAGTTATGTTTGAAAGGATGTACTTGAATTATTATTATATATTATCATTATGTCAGTGGTCTAAAATGGTCTTACAACGGTGCCGACAATATTATCGTTTATCGCAATAATTTCCGGGAAAATGTATCGTCCAACAAAATTAATTATCGTTACAGGCCTACATATCAGCTGCAAATCTGTATCCGCTCGTTGTACCCCCGTTCTTAAAAGATTTGGGTACGGAGGAAAAGAGAAAGGGTTTTATTTTCTGACGCTGCGTGAGTTCCCCGACACACCGGGGACACATATTTACGTATAAAAGACATCAAAAAGTGCATTTTGCATGATAGGTCCCCTTTAAGTATTAGCGCCTTTTTGGGCCCAATAGCATCATGTAGACCAAACTGTATTACCCCTGTTTGGCCACCATGACAGTTTGTTTTAGCACTTGCTGTACTT